CCCGCTAATCCTTTCGGGGTTCTAAATAATGGTGAATGTAAATAAATGATAAGCCTTAGCTCCTCACTTATGTAAATAGGCATATTTCATTTTCATTTTGAGACTGACAGCAATCCTATTCACCGCTAAATTATCTGAATTCAAGAAGAATGCTGGATGTTTACAGTTGTGAGATAATATGCCAGTTCAGCTCCAGACGTTATCACGCGTATTCTCGATGGACTTCAGCGAAACTGGGAAAGGTCTAACACATTCAATAGTGAGGTGGTTAATGGAGTACCTCATGCTGATATTCCATGGGTCCTCCAGTTTCGCTAAAGCCTGCCGTGTGATGCGCGCGATAGCGGGCGGAGCAAAACTGGTCTTAGATAAGTAGATCCCTGCCACGCTGCACGTGCATTCCGCTTCTGCTCTTGCTTTCGAATATTAGCTGCTGAGTCTTGGATGAGCGCCGACCAGAGGTGAATGTTTCTCAGTTAATCCGCAGTGAAGAATGGGGCCCGTCATTCCAAGCAACTATGAACCGGATTACCATTCTTTCCCAATAGCTCGAGCGCACATCTAGGCAGGATTCGTCGAGTTCACGTGTTTAGTCCAAGCAATCGGTAGTCAGGCGGACGAGGGTTGATGTGGTGCCCATTTTGCGGCTTGAAAGTGCGCGACAAACGTGCAGGAAGCTCTCTACTCGCAATCCACACCCTATTCCGCAAGCCCCACCCCGCGCGGCCGAGATACGTTGGTGCTGCAAGAAGAGTGCGGCCGCCAAAGCGGCAGTGTTAGATTGCGACTCAATGTCGCGCAGCCTGTTTGTGGTGTGAAGCGTCGTTGGACTTATGCCAAGAATCTCATAGAGAGGATTCTTTCTATGAATATTTTCAAAAGAGGTATCTTTTAGCGATAGGGACCAAAGGAACAAACCAAACGATGAAGGCGTACGTACTGCGTACAATTATGGCTTCGGCGCTAGCTATGAAACCCTATGTTTTATTGGGTATAAACAATCGTAAACATCGTCAAAGATATAAACAAGAAACAATTAACCTTATAAAGATGTTTTTTCGAAAACTGCAAGAAAAGGAACCTCCCCAAAACTTCCATTTGAGCCGATGTTCTACATCCGTATCGATTCTGGCCTAGAGGTAAAACTGGCACTGGAGCAACTTTGGCCATCCGTTCGTGAAAACTCGTCCAAACCCATCCGTTCTCCATTTTAAGGTGAAATATGGTAGAAGGGGTTCGAGGTGTTACCAAACGTTTCGTTTGATTTCTTTTTTGTTTTCAGATCACTGTCCACCATAAACTTCACAGTCAAGCGCCCTTACCCACTCATTTTTTCACGAAACTTGTTTTTAAGCAACCAACCGCAAAATTTACGAAGGATGCATAAACATGTGTATTGTCCGTCCAGCAATTATTCAGAAGAAGCTTATCCTAAATCTGTCTGCAAACGCTCAGTGATCTACGACCATTCCATTCATAGTTTGCCAGGATAGTGTCACATGAATACGACACTAATGTCAAATTCTTTAGCACTGTTCTGAGTTTGTCAAATGCTGAATTTTGTATTTGGAATTATTATTCCAACACACCGTCACCTACTATGTTCGAGAATTCCGGCTAATACTTCTTTTGAACATCTTGGCTGAAGCGCTAACAACCTCCAGTATGATCTAGCCTCTTCAATGTTTTTTCGCGCAATACCCAGTTTTTCGCAACAGCAGACAGAAAACAGACAAAATTATGGCGTTTCATCCTTAGGGCGTACGTCTGTTTGCCTTTTCTGAAGGAGTCTGCCCATTGTTCATTCAGTTTGCAAAGTGTGCCGCTTTCCTCTTTTTCCTCTTTTTCTTTTCGTTTCCTCTTGTTTCTGAAAAGAACAACTTGAAAAGGTATTGGTGACGAACCTGTTTCCTCAAACTCCCAGCTGCTCTTCCAGTTGACCGACAAAAGTACCTGAATCTACATACATACCATCATACTCCATTACACGTACAATAGTACCGTGATGTGCACACATTTTTGAGTGTAAGGTTTGTACTCATTTTTTTGAACATACACAACTGCGTTTTTCAGCACATGGCAAAGAAAACGTTAAACAACGCTGGAAGAGAACGATAAAGTCTGTGTCGAAGCAAGTGAATAAAATCAAAAGCATCAGGTCGCCCGTTAGAAGCCATTCAAGTGAACCATCAGAAAGAGAAAAAGGGAAAGCGTCAGAAGGAGAAAAAAGGAATGGGGAAAGAGAGCAAACACACAAAACGAAAAGCAAGATGGAAGCGCCCCATATTAAGGTAACGAAAGGTGCTCAATAGGAGAACAAACAAATTCAGAACGTTAAGTATTCCTAATTTCCCACTGTTAAAGTCAACGTGGAAGACATGCAGAGAGTTTCGGGTAGCTTGAATTAATGCGTTATAGGAGCATTGCTCCGTATATTTTTCACAACTTGTGAAACTAGGATCGACTATGCTATACATCTATTAAGTCGCAACGAATTGCGACTTAATAGATGCATAGCATAGTCGATCCCAGTTTCAGTTTCAGTTTCCTTGCGGAATTTTTTAAAGACCTGACAAATGGCTGCCGCGCATCAACCTGCAAGGGGGATTTTGAACCGTATATATGGACAGTGGTATTCCTTCATATTTCCGAGTCTCACCTCCTGCATTGAGGTTTTTTGGAGCCTGGAAAATGCCATAGTTTCTACCCATGTACGCCACTGACTTCTTTGCGAATTTTGTCTGGGACACACAGCGAGCGAAGCCTGCCGCAAAATATGCTCTGTGGAAGTAGGGGGAGTGGTAAGTGAAAAAACCTGCCAACTTTGGTTCAGAAGGTTCCGCGAAGGAAACTACAACCTCGAAGATGGACGCCCAACGAAAGTTAATTTCGAACGTTTGGAGCTGTTACTTCAAGACTTTCCGCATGCAAGCGCCAAGGAGCTGGCAAAGGAGATGCAGTGCTTCAACATGGCCACAGGTCGTGTTCATCACATGCTGGAAAAAGTTGAGAAACTTGGTCGATTGATCCCTCATGAGCTGACAGAGCATTGCAAGAAAAGAGGTATCGGGGTGTGCAGAGGTTTTCTTGCAAGGAGTCGCCGTTTCGACTGGTTGGATAATGTAATTACTGGAGATGAAAGGTGGGGGCTCTACGTCCGTATATCATACCAGAAGAAGACAGTGAATGGGTGCGAACCAGAAGCCAGAGCCTGTTCCAAAGCAGGAGGTTCATCCCAAGAAAGTTCCTCTGTCAGTTTGGTGGAGTGTTCGGGGAACACGTCATTACGAGATGCCAGACAATACCACCGTCGACGCTGAGGTGTACTGCTCACAACCACGAAGGCTCGCAGCTGAAGTCGCGAAACTTCGCCCGAAGCTGGACGAAGTTTTCTTCTTCATGACAACGCGCGACCGCATGTTGCAAGGGTAACCCAGGACACATTGGCGGAACTTGGATCTGCGGTTTACCCCATCCTCCATATTCGCCAGGATCTTGCACCTACGGATTACCACCCACTCCTTTCCCTGGCTCACTTCTCAAAGGATAAAAAGTACGACAACAGTTGAAAGCGGACATGGGCACTTCTTCGACTCGAAGCCTGCCGAATTTTGAAGGAGAGGCATTTGTTTCCTTGTCGACCGATGGCGGACTGGTGTAGTGCTTGTGGGAATTATTATTCGAATAAAGTTCAATTCAAAGAAAAATACGAGTTTTTGAAATTGAGGGTCGAATCCGCAATTACTTTTGTTGCAATCTATCCTACTATATATAATTCGCTAAGTATGTCTGTGCGTGTGTGTTTGTCACGAAATTCATAGCGCCCTGAAGTTGATTTTGGGATATGATATAGGGGGTGGGACGGGAACATATTTGGTGGGGGACAGAAAGTGATAACGACTGATAAGATCTGATAAGGGCGTTAGAACGCGGACGTCACGAAATGCATGGCGCGCGACCCAGCAGCAGTGAGGCGTTGTTTTGCAGATATGATATAGGGGGTGGGACGGGAACATATTCGATGGGGACCAGAAAGTGATAACAGCTGATAGGGGCTGATAAGAAGCGTTGGAAGGAAAATGTCACGACATTGACAGCGCAACGCCCAGCAGCACTGAGGCGTTGTTTTACGATATAGGGGGTGGGACGGGAACATATTTGATGGGACCGAAAGTGATAACAGCTGATAGGGCTGATAAGGAAGCGTTGGAAGGAAATGTCACTGAAGTTCTTATCCAGATGTTGGATAAGAAATATCATTTCTTCGCGATGTCGTCGTGATCCATTCGACCGCTAATCTGCCCGAGCTTCTTAAATGGTCGGCGTCTGTGGAAATATGATAAATATTGGTGTTTGTATCTCATCACCGGCATAGGAAGTTATTCGACCGTCTGTATTAGTCATCCAATGGTCATTCGGCTGCTAGACTTTGTTAGTCCCAGAAAAATGATGGATGTTTATTGGTATTGAAGAACTATGAGAAATTACTGCTTTATCATCTGATTTCCTTAATACCATCAGTCAAATCCATTGAAAGCAGTATGTTACTCAATACAATAGCCCGGCTATACTCAGTTTCAATGAAGCCTATGTTGACATGCGCGCGATAGCGGGCGGAGCAAAACTGGTAACATATATAAACCATTAGGCGGTAGAGTGTGTGCTCTTCTCGCGCAAAATTTTGCTCCCATTTGCACGGTCGGGCTACACAAGGTTGGTGGATGACATCGATGGCAACCGGAAGGAGCCGACGGTGGGCGCTGGATTGTGGATATCTCAATTTCGTTATGTTGTTCGCGGTTGACGCATTCAATTTTTGGTGAGGTGGGAATTCAAGATGTGGGTGATAACAATGATGACGAAATTACGGTGTAAAAATTGTGTAATGGAGACAATAAGGCCAGCTAAGCAGTAAAGGGGAAGAAAAGCAAGCAATATAAGGACCCAATAAAATACCCTACATTGCGACGTCTACAAAGTGATCGACATGGCAGCTGTTGAATGCACGCCTTGGATTAAATACTGGAGTAATAATTGTGGCGTCTAGGATGAGGCCGTTTCTGTTGAGGATCCTCGCTTTGTGCGCACTCTGCCTCTCCGTTTCACCACGAGTGACCTATCAGAAAGTTTAAGCTTGTTTCAAGTGTTACTGATGGCTTTTCGGTTCCGTTTTGTGCTTTCAGTCTACATCAATTTAACTTTTGAGCGCTATTACACCGAATCTATCATAGAACATATCCTTAGGTCCCTTCCTCAGCATCATTAGTTAGCGAAGCCTACTTAAACGACTGCGTAATCGATAGGTTATTGTTGCCGTCTGCCAGTAACTTCGGAGAGTACCGTTGCTTTCTTATATAAGAACACGGCTGATTTGCTGACAAACCGCGGGGATCTGTTGCTTGGGGAGAGGGGGATTTGCTTCTACAATCATTGTGCGACCGTTAAGGCAAGAAAACTTGTAGCACTGCAGAAGCTTCCAGGCAACCAACCAAACAGAAAAATCCAGGCACTTGGTCAAACAAAAAGTCGTATTGAATTGAAGAAACACAGAAGGAGAACCCTGGCTATCAAGGAGGCTACAATTTTTGTGCTGTTTTGCTTCTTCCGAAAGGTGCGGCAGAATTGCAGTGTTGATAGTCACACTATTGTTATATGCCTAAAAACATTAGAAGACATACTAGTTTGAATGTTTCTTCGCACTAGGCGCGCGAATGCCCCCCCCCCTCCCCCTCACCACTCCTCCAACAACGGACCCGAGGATCTTGGATTTAACGTTTTATTGACAAAGATGTTTGAAGCTCAGCGTGATGATGCGAGCAGTGCGAATTGGTTTCGTATATTTTTATTCAGGAGGAGGAACAATACACAGAATTTGAATTAGTGGATGCCCCAGTGCAGCCAGCAGTGGTGGAAATGCTCCCAAAAGGAAGCCATTACAAGGTATTCCTTGAAGGTGAGTGATAGTTTCAAACAACGGCTCAAACTATTAGTGTCAATCTAAAATTCTTACGTATTTTCCAGAGGCAGCTATCGGTAAAGCAAAAACGCCGAGCGAGATAAGGCCCAAAATCAACAAAAGTAATAGAAAGGTCGAAAAATCTGTGAAAAACGACACCGAAAAGGCACAAAAAGGCTCTTCTGATAGGAGCTTAAGTAGTTCAGCGAAGGTGCCAAGCAGTGGTAGTAGCTCCGCTCAGAAGAACATGTCCGCTTACATGGGTCCAATGCCGAAGTCGAAAAGTGCAGAGCGTTCGACGCTGGCTTTACCTTCTGACAGAAACCATAGAAATGGAAATAGTTCATTTTGTAACAATTTTACAACTCAACTGTTACGCAGCGATCGTAGCAGCTCGAAGATAGGCAATAACCTGAACTCTGGATTAACGGGAAGCGCCGATCAAAATTCAAAACAAAAGATGCTTATATGTGGGATGTGTCATCGTGTTTTTGAGGAGTCTGGAAGCGGGACGGAAAAGGAAAAGCGCATGGAATCCTTTTCTGATGAAAGGACGGAACCACCGCCGCAGGACAAACCTTTACAGTGTGGAGGATGTGCGTCTAAAGAATCAGCAGAACAGCCACTCTCAAATGAACGGCCACAAGGCAAATTCCTAAAACTATCACGTGAAAAAATTGAGTTCCTGATCTCGGACCAACCAATGCCATCTGAGAAAGCGCAGACTGCTTTTTTTGGAACCTCAGAGGATACACTCTTTTTCAAACCACCATCACCCGAACGAAATTCACCAGTCACGCCTAAAATCAACATAGCATCCACAGTTCCAAATGAAACTGCAGCTACTATGAACAGAAATAAACCCCTTCTCAAGGAAGAGCCTGTGCCTATAACTCGTGATGCATCCGACCAAAAACAAGGCTCATCTCAGTCCGGCTCTGACGAAAAAGGGAATCGCACACACATGGAAAAGAAGATTCGGCAACCATCGGCTCGCACGGTGGTACGTCAAACTCTATTTATAGAGACTCTACCGATTGAAAGCGGCAACGTGAACCAGTCAATATTAACCACGACGACAAAGAAAGAGTTGAGGAGCAAAGGAAAATTCGCAATAATGGCAGCTAGCCTATAATACAAGAGACGTTGAAAACTTAGAAACTTAACAGAAGGGAAGTTTCATAGTGTATTGCGCTGAACGCTTGAATAGCATACCCTAGCTTGAGGGAGCAGATGTGTATTAAAGATAGCTTACCCAACCTTCAAAATAGAAACAAAATCACCTGACCAGGGATGGTTCATTGGGTCGAACTGGCCGTATAGAATGAGACATATTATAGCACAGGAACCATTAGATGCTGATTTCGATTCTGCTTCCCAAATCTATCATGGCATCTGTCTTCCACTGCCAGTAGAGAGTTTGTTGGCAGAAGAGTGCATAACCCTTCGAAATACGGACCTTGTTTATTTCGTTCACGGCGTGAGGAGTTGCGGCGTGCATGTGAACCTGCAATAATAGTGAATTACAGTACCTTTAGTAAAGCATATATTCTCACTTCACATTTCCTACGTATTTATGGCTGGAGATATCTTCTGCAGTCCTCCAAATAGTTGGAAGCGACTCTGGAAAATCAGCTGATTGGAGTGTCGTTTGAGTAACGGGCCTCGCTATCTGGAGGATTTCCCTGGGAGCTTCACAGGGCATTAAATTCTGAGGAAAATGACAGAATGATCTTGCCA